AAGTGTTTCGCAAGCACTCTAGATAACTATTGATAACACAATAAAAAATTGGAGATTTATTACATGGACATTAATTTTTTAAATTATTTTATGATAAAATAATAATATTTGATAATATTTTTTTTAAAAAGAGAGAGAGAAAATATCGATTAAATCATAATACTGCTTGGTAAAGGCCTTTTTTATTTGTACAACAGTAACGAAAAATTTACAATAAATTTACCTTTGTGGTCTATATCCTGATGCGAGTGGAGAAAAAGGATAATTTCCTTGGATTTGTCGTATTTCAATCTGCGGCAGAGGCGTTAACGGCGAATCCATCATTGCGCCTGATGTAGGATCGCTTTCTATCTTACTGTGCTCGTCTGTAAGATACTCGCAAGGGGATTTTTGTTAAAAACATAACAATTTTCAGGCATAATTTTTAATAATAAAAATTAAATTATTGCAATTAAAAAATTCAGGATTTTTTAATAAAAATTTGCATATAATTTTTAAATTTATATATAAGAAAAGATGCATTAAATAACATAAAAAAGATGATTGTTTACGAAAAATATCAGAATTCAACATTTTTATTTAAAACTTTATTGCTTCTAGCCTCCAATTTTATTCATGAATATTTTACTATCACATTTTGTTGCCATTTTATTATTATATTGCTATATAATCTTATCGATACAGTTTCAGTCGCTTTATGAACTGAAATAATTAAATTATTTTTATTGCAAACAAAAGCTACTAAATATATTTATTTTATATGTTTGCGTGTGCACAAATGACACATATTATGAATAATGTCAATGAACGCAGAACACTCCAGGCTAATAAATGTTCAACAATTTCCGTTGAAAATTACAAAATAATTTTCGAAAATTTTTTAAAATAAAATACTTCAAAAATATTTGAAAAATAAAAATTACAAAAGTTATATCAAAGCACAAACTTAATTAAGCTTGTATAGAAACGCAATTTAATTAATAAATTTTTACGTTTTGACGTTTAAGAGAAAATATTTATTTATTACCGTGCGCCGTAAAATAATTAACGAATAAATTGACTTACCTGATACACTGAGTGCACAGCAGTGCGACAGAAAGCCGACGCCAAGCAGTATCACTAGAAACAACATTTTTTTATTAAAACCGTATAAAATCGAGGCTTCCGCACACACTTGGTCTCGATACGACTGAAATTTTTCAATGCAACGAAATCGTTCACGGTTCTTTCTCCTTCGCTTTCTTTTCTAAACTCACACAACTTTTAAACACAGGTCTCGCCTGCCTCGTAGAACGCGGTCGATATACCCGTTACTTGAAACTGGTCGGCGATCATCCTTCTCTTCTTATGTACCGGAGAATCGAAAAAAGAGAAAAAAATAGTGACACGAATGTTAACCTGAGTTTCACGAAGCAATGACGATTTTCATGAATAATTTAATCGACATAAAAAAATAATTTATACAAGAAAGCAAAAATCGCGCAAAAGTGAGAAATGTAATTGCTTCTCATGATATATTGTTTTGCAAGAATTGTCGTAAATGAAATACGGATCTGAATCTATTTTTACAATTTAAAAAAAAAAATTTAATAAAAAAATAATAAATTAGTAGAAAAAATAAGATTTATGAAAGATCAGTTTATATTTTTTTGCTAATTAAAATGTAAATTTATTTCTTAGATTTTACTATTAATTTGGCAATAATGTTCAATATGTTAAGTAAAGAGACTTACTGTCGAGCACGATCTGTGTTAATTTTAAGCTAACAAGTTAATTTTAAGAATTCGGGCATGCGCATTAAATTGAGAAGTGAGTTATAACAAACCGAATTAGTTTTCAATATTGTTATAATTTGTGTGTATTTTGTATGTTACAGATGAACTTGTGAACAACTCCGCTGCTGCGCATCGTGCCGGTAAGTCTATCTAATTTGTTTTATTTTAATAATATTAAAAAAATAGATTGAAAAATAATCTAAAATACAAAGTATCTCACAGACTAATCGTGTCACCTGTTAATAGCAGATTTCTGAGATTTCTCACATGATAAAGATATAAAAATTAATATACGATGTATATGAAGTTTTGACAATTTGATTCGTCAATCTTAAACACTTCCCATTAAAATACTATTATAGCTACGACATTTTGATGTAAAGATTTTTGTCTCCAAATGATCTGAGGATTCTGCTATTGCAGTAACAAGGGATACGCTTCGTCGGGAACGCTTTGCTATCTACATTTATATTAATTGTATCCCACAATTAAAACATCTTGCCTAGTTTCATCGTTATTGCATCATTTAATTACGTCCATAATTTTCACTTTACATGTTTATCACATTGATTAACTGGTAAAAAAAGCTTAGTCTTCGTTATAACGCATTTTTTATTTACTGCACGTACAATAAATGATGTCGTTATGATAGTTAAATCCGAAACAATAGATTGCGTGTCACTAAAGATCTTGTCTTACATCACATTACTATGAAACATTCAATTTTGCTTGAAATATTTCTTACAAATGCTTTTTTAATTAATGACGAATTTAGCTATATATTTCCTAAGAGACACTTCTACTATTATACTATCCGTATAAGCTTGTAACTTCTTATCAATTTTGCTAACAAGAAATTATCAATTTATATAATTGTAATTTCTTATGTACAGTTTAACAAAAATATCTTTGAACTTTGATTTGTGCGAAATACGCGTTTACAAATCTCATTCACATGCATACGTACATACATTCATAATTATCACAATTATTTGCTTTACAAACATTGTTGTTTGGAAAATTCTCTTCAAAAATAAAGATGCCGAGTTTCTTGTTATTTTAATCTTTTGACCTCTTTGTTTCGTTATGATAGAATACAGTTCTTTAATTTAAGAAAATTTAAAGTTGACATCATTCTCATCGAATCACAAAGAATCGCCAGTCCCTTTCGATTGATACAAAAGTAATTTATTAAAATAATCAATAACATACAAAATATTTGGTATCGTCAGTGTATTTTTAGGTCAATAACAGATGTAACCTAAGCACCGTTAAAATCATCAGGAACTTCGTAAGATACGTGCTAACGCGCGACCCAGCGCTCATCGCTAATTGCTTCCCTGCAACAAAAAAAAAAAGAATTTGTTATTAATTGGCAATTACTGCATTGAAACAGTAAAAATCAATAATACACATAAAAATATTAAATCAGTATCATACGTAATAATATTCTGAAATAATAGTATTTACGCAAGATTTAAACATTTCTCGCTATTTTTGGCGATAAAAATTATTCGACAGAGATAAACTGTTTTCCTATAAAAGGATTAATCTTAAAATTAATCAAAATTTTTTTTACCGTAAAAATAATTTATATCGTTGGAAAAAGATATATTTATTGTAAAATATCACGATGGTCACAGTACAATCGGATTCAATTTACAAAAGTCGACACCATGCGTGATAAATCGTTTGTCATTCGAGCATAGTTCACGCATCAATTCCGACCTGTGTTTTTGCATTCGTATATCAATACTTTAGAATTACAAACAACGATATCGTCATAACACGGTATCGCGATATAAATCTATATGATCCTTTGAAATGTTTTATAAAGAATATTGCTCTCGTACCGTGAAACAATCTCAAATAAAAAATGCACTTTTTATTAATATTATGTAAATTTTTTGAAAAATGTCTTTTTCAATGATTTGCCTAATTAAAAACGATAAAATTTTCATGAGCATATAAGACACACTTCAAGATTGTTCAACTTATACTTTTTTAATTTTATAACAGTATAATTATATGATTATATAATTAAATATATAATTTATTATATATATATTATTTAATTATATTAAATTATATTAATTATATATATATTATTTAATTATATAAATATATAATTTATATAATTAAATAATATAAGCTTGCTATCTTGCGACATATAAAAATATTTCCTGCGTACATATGCGTGCCACATATTTTATGGCTGCATTTTATTTACGAAATATTGTTTCGCGATCAGAAAAATTCCGACACTTACAGACGGAGGCCAGGTACGAATGGCAACAACAATCCCTTAATCTCGTGTATTCCGCGCAGTTTCCAGCCTGCACTTTAATTTCCTCTGGTCCCAAGCGACAAGTATGTTCGACGAACGGAAACACTTCTGAAACAATAGACAGATAAATTTGTATGTGAATGGACAATTATACTCCTTACAAGTCTCTTTAATATTTCGCTACTTTTTATTCTCAAAAATTAATGGCGAATTAATCTACTCAATTTTAATTGTTTATCATGAGATATTTTTGTTCAGGATTGTATGCTGCTTGAAGATTTAGATACTTTTTTCATCATCTTTTATATATTTTATGTTTATAAACTTCTAAAATGCTGGCTTATGCTTATTTTTGTATCAATGAATAATTTGTAATTTAATTAATTATTTATCAATGAATAATATAGAAATTAATGAGTGATTTATAATTTAGAAAAATATCGATACTTGCAATACAGTTTTAGTAGAAAATTAAGGTATCGCAATTTCATTAAAAAAATTTAAAAAATAATTCTGCGCGCATTTCGAGGCATTGAAATGCGTACCGACATGTAGAATGTTCAATGTAGTATCACGTCGCGATAATTAACTGATTTCGTACGTGGATCGACGATTAATCCGTGTAACGAGATAGACTTCGGCTTCGGAGAGTTTCGACGTGTTATCGGTTTCGGAAAAAAGACAACATGATAAATGAAACGTATAAATGATAAACTGTGTAATGCACAAAATCTCGATCTGTCGTCCTGTGCCTTTTAGCAATTTTAACGCAACCAGTCCTTAATCGTCACGAGCGATTAAAAATAAGCGTGAAATGAAGGAATCGGTTATTCACGGACGCCATTGAACAAACGATTTAGGTATTCCATGTGTGTAGCCGTTGCGTGCAGTAATGCAACTCCGCGCGCAAGAATCTACAAGCGCATTCGGGACACAAATGACAGTGGGTTCACCGTCTTGAATAAAGATCGAGCGAAAATACAAATAATTTATGAGTACTTGTTTTAGAATTTTTTAGGACGGTATTTCTAGAACGGTATTTCTATATCTTTCTGTCTTTAGGAGTGCACAATCTATGCTTTTATATCTTTTAACGATAAAGTATATATTTAAATAATATCGAAATAGGATTCGCGTGTATGAACAAAATAAGTTGTAGAGTATGCAGGCAAATTAGAGCAAAATCTGTCTACAAATAATCTAATCCTAGTATAATTCTAGAATTTATTTTTTTACATTTAGAAATTTAATTCAAAGAACAGATTTGGAAAGCATTGGAACAATGTCGAACTCGAATATTATTTCAAGATTAATTTTTTCTAATTCACAAACACGCTAACAAGAGATAGAATTAATATTTTTCAATTGATTTAATAATATCTATTTATCCAACAAACTGTTTAAGAAATCAAGGAATATAGTAAATAAATATTCGCGTCAAAATCGATAATTATCAGATTCAAGCAGATGCAAATGCATCACCCGTTATTCCGAGCTAATTAGAAATTCGAGCAAAGGGACTTCGGGTCGATGAACGATAGTCCTGCAAGAAGTTCGAGAAGCGCGCGGAATGTTTAAGCGATCTTGCTCGACCATTCGCGTGTAGTGTTAGTCATCCGGTGGATCCTAAGCATTAACGCGCGCGTAGAAGACAAGGATAAGTCATTACGACGAGCGATGATTTCCTGAACAGGTGACTGCCCTTTCGTTCTACCGGAAGAAACTTTGTCGAATTTTTTTGCGTTCGAAAATCGTTATTTTTATGTCTAACCGGCAAATCGCATAAATAAGAATAAATATGTTATTTAAAAAAGGCAATTATTGAAATAAGTTATAATTATTCGCGATATAAATTGATTATGATCATTTAGAGGCAGGAATCGGTGATTATTTGATATTTTACTCTTTTTTGATTTTTGATAATAAAATTTTTTTAATATTACATAACCAAAAAATATTATAATCAATAGAAAATATTAACGCTTTTTCGAAAATATTAAAGCTTTGCATGTAACGTGCGATTGATGAATATTATAAAATCCTCCTAAATTTTTATAAATCTTCCTTTTCTTCTGAGTCTTTTAATTTTAATACGTTTTGTTTAATTAGATTTATATAGACTTAATCAAATTTTTCACTTAATTGCGGATTGAGTATATAAACGTTATTGCATTTCTTAAATTTACATCGCGATATTCGAATCTTCCAAATTTTCTGGAAAACGCTTTGAAGAAAACCAGAAAGATTTCTCTAACTTAAATAAACACTTTGTGTCAACTCCACGTTATTTGAGAACTAACATGTGATTTAGCGCACATGTAGTACATTGGTTAAAAATAATTACGATTACGTGGAACTGCGCGATTCGCGATGTCAAATCGCGAAATTACAACAATTCCGCGCTATCATTGGCGCTGCTCTAAATTTCCGTGAAACACGTTGCACAACGCGCTCGCTCGCCACGGCCAATTGTTCACGCACGAATTCGCCGGGTCCCGGGACCGTGGTTTTTCATACGACTTCTCGCTGCGCGAATAGACGAAGGACGAGAGTGGAAAATACGACTTCCGTCGTCGAGAAGGTTAAGCTGATTTCGATCGGCTCGTTATTGCCGAGTTCGCCGCATCGCTTCGTTAGCTCCTCGATATACAAAAGCACGAGCGTGACTTTATTGGGATTTTCATAGATCACCGGTTATGTAAAGTGTACTTACTTGAATACAGAGTGTTGAAGGGGCTGTCGCAGAGGCAATGGTCGTTGATGACGTTTCCATTCTTGCAGTAAGTCATCTCGGAGCTGGTGCAAGGCTTGCATCCCGGAAGGGGTCCTGCGATCGCGAGACATAATTAGCCGCAAATAATTGACGTTTAATCAGAATTAAAAAAAAAAAAACTAAGCGAGAAACCAAGTGAAATCGCCACACTGTTAGCTTCTACGATCGCGGGATGAGCAAGATCGTTTCAAGCGAGACGCCGCGTTTCCCGGTCGCAAGAATCGCTGAACATATAGTTGCTTATTAATTAAAGGATTATATTTCATTAACCTCGATACCGGCGACTGTGATTAAAATGCATGACAATCGCGTCGAATCCGCATCCATGATTCACGTTAATTAGCGTCTCGAGGCTTCTTACGCAATTCCACCTGAAATCGTGTCGCGGACGCACAAGCGAATTATCTCTCTTTGTACCGCCGCGTCGACATTGATCGTAGATACGTTGTACTCGCTCTTCATTGTATTCCCTATCATTAATTAACGAAATAATACATCGTGTTCAACTTGGAAAGGTTTTATATTCGCGGGCTGCTTTTAAACGGAACACTTCGTGGAAATCGGAGTTGCAGCTAATTGATCAACCGATAATTATCAAGTCGATAATTATTACCATAGTTAATTGAACATTTTTGATTATTATCGCGCATCTCAATTTCTCCGACTTAATCAATTGAGATGCGCGATAATAATCAAAAATGTTTAAATAACGGTGGTAATAATTATCGACTTAATAATTATCGGTTGATCAATTAGCTCCAACTCCGATTTTATTATTTCGACTGATTAATGCCCATTTCCACCAATGTAGATTAACTTTAATCTCGGTTCAACTCACTCTTCATCTTTTTCTAGTTTTAAGAATTAGAAAAAGGTGAAGAGTAAGTTGAATCGAGATTAAAGTTAATCTACGTTGGTGGAATCCAAGATAAGTCGGAGAAATTGTGATGCGCGATAATAATCAAAATTGTTTAATTAACGGTGGTAATAATTATCGACTTCCTTAACTGTAATTGACACCTTAGCATTATTATTTGTTCCAAATTCACATATTACTGTGTTTGTTATTTGTTACCGTGCCACGACTGCTTGATTAAATCGTAGAAATCAAAGCGTGACGTTGACCTAGCTTCTAATTGACACGAATAATAATATTAGACGGTAATCATCGACTTCCTCGGCCATTTGAATTACCGTAATGAGAGCCGCGTGGACAGTCGGCTTGTTGCGCTGTTACAATACAAGCGGCATCGTCAGGTGCCTCGATGTGATGTAATGACGTATAACAAAACACTCGTACATGCGTGACTGCTCGTACTACGCGCAGAAGAAGCGTGAAACAGCACGATCCAGTGCATCGAAAGGCGGTAGAAAAAATCGCAACACAAGGCCGGAAAATCGGATTTTTCATGCACTAACAATGAGAACTGCACGACATATTTCACTTTTCGATTCAATTGGCCATTCAGCAAATAATATAATAATTCTAATCATGAATACAATACTGTATATTTTTAAATAACTATTGCAGCTCTATAATAATTGATTTAAAAAATAATTTATCGATGAGTCAATATTATATTTGCTGATGCTCTAATTTCAAATTAAGTCAACGTAATTTTTGAAAAAAAAAAATTTCTTAACGAATTACTACTACTAATCTCTAGAATTGTGTTACATACACATATAAAAATACATAAAAAATACTAGAAAATTATTATGCAACATTTATGATATTAAGATACCAAGCAGCGCTTGAGAGTCTTGCGTATTATTTTCTGCGACAGAGATGTTCACGCGTACCTTTCTTGTCCATGCCGACTAGAGTGCGATTAGCAGAACAAAAATTTCGAAACGTCAATCGCACGACGCTGGTTAGGTGGATCAAAGCAGCTATTCTTGGCGAGAAGATAAATACATTTCTGTGTACCGTAAAGAAGCTTTATAGACCGGCCGCAGGAGTCAGACAAGAGCGTTAATGCGACGCTTTTAGCAACTGGGCTAGATTGGGAAAAGCCGCTTCATGAATGTTATTGAGATATGTCTATACTAGACATATCGTAACTCGAAACCTACTTTAGGAATAGATATCTTGACAAATATTCTTCTTTTAATTTTTTTTTTAGTCGAAAATGTCGAAGTGTCAACTTTCGAATGAAGCGACTGAAATAGATATTTTTAACAAATTAAGCTTGAAAAAGAGACAACTAAAGTGCAAATCTTTATTCTTTATTTAGTTTCCAGAAAACTTAGGTAAAATTATTATTTTTGTGGCTGATTATTAGTTATCAAAATATCTAATATCAGAAATTTTAAAAGAACTCCAGAGTCTGATATTCCTTCAATTGGTTTTTCATGTTAAAAGATGTCTTGCATCTATTAGGATACATAAAGTTCAATAACCCGGAAAGCTCGTTGCTGTTTGATTATTTCTTTTAGACGTAAAACACTTCTAGGATCTTTTAGTGCGAAACAGTGTTACTCTTGCGTAAACAGAATAATATCGTATATTGGGCGAAATTTTAATGATAGGGAAATTTGACTTGTTGAGAATTTGTTTGAGAGAAATCGCGTGATTCTTACCAGGATATATCTCCAGTTTCTTCGCTTCGGCGAGCGCGTCTTTGCGAAGGACTTCGTGCTCGACAATGTACTCATCGTCAGAATGCTGGTTCACGATTGTGACTGTCTCGAGGCTGCCGAGGGTCAGAATGAGAGTTAGGATACTAATCGCACCGATGTCGATCATGCTAGAGTCGCCCCGTTTCTCATCGTCGATGAGAATCGCGTTCTTCTTAATTACGATAGGCCACGTTTGTCTTCACGTTGTCTTCTCCTTCTTGCGATAACTTCTGTCAAATCGAAAATTAAACTGTCACTAATTTAATATGAATTATTGCAAAATAGGGGGGGGGGAAATATTTGTATTACGATTTTCAATCACAATGTGATTTTTTTTTTTAGATTAAACTCCGAGCTTAATCCTCTTTCAGGGAAACTAAATCAATACTCGATAACAAATAATATTTATTAATTATAACTGTCGGTAAAAAAAACAACATTTCTTTTTTAAGACTGCATTGTGTGTCGATCTTGAATGAAGCAACGCGAAGACAAGATCAGCTGCGATTTTATAGTAAGCTCACCGTACGCCTCTCTTGTTATTCGGAAATTTCAATAGAGCACACAATGAAACGACTGTCGTAACCGGAAGTGTACGGAAGATATGAAGGCAGACGCGGCGACGCCGTCCACGTGACAGCGATTATACTGTATAATTTGCAGATACTGTGTATTGTGTAAGTTCCTTCTAAACACAAATTTTTCTCATTTTTATTTCTTATTAGTTTTGAATGATTTTTAAATTGTAAATGTCATTTTTTGTATTTAGAAATAAGTAGTTTTTAGTTTAGTAAAATTATCGGCAGTGCGTTGCACCTGAAAATGCACAAAGTTTACGCTCGATATGATCGTGCCGAGCGATCGCTCGTTTAGCTGCGTAAGCATTAATCGTGACATCTGTTTCCGGTACGCAGGATCGATACCGTTTTAATATTCAAGGGTGTACGCGGAAAAGTACCGGTACCAACAGGAGGGGTGTCTTTCATATCGATCGCCTCGTTTCGCCTCGTTCCGGTAGATGATTCATCCCCCGCTACTTAATTCAATGTTACCCTCTCTTTAATTCTGGCAACGAATCGGTCCGCTCTCGATCACGGGAGGAGTAATTCTCAATGCAAAAGCAACGAGTGAAATTCAGGACGATTAAAACGCAGTTCCGTTGAATTTAATCGTCTAAACAAACGATATCCTCGCCACAAAGACTATCGGTTACTTTGTTATTGCGAATTTAACGTTTCACAAGCCGTTTGCATAAAAATTCACAACTTTATTACATTTTCCGTATTTCTATTATTTATGTATTTATAATTTTTTTATAAGTGTCTCGGAGTTTTCTTTTTTTAATTGATAAGTTTGTCGGGGAATTAAGTTTCCGCGAAGCTCGGTTTTTTAAATTTAGTTACCAGATGTTTTTAAGCCTGAGCACGTTTTTAATGAGAAAAAACTTTTTATTCACAGAATAATTTGATATTTATATAAATTCGTCAACGAAGTTGACGTTAATTTCTTTCGATTTTATCAAATGAAACCGTGTTTGTGCCAGATATTAAACACACCCGGGGATTTGAACAAAGGAAAAATCCAACGTGCAGTACGGCGTAAAAAGGCGATAATACTAGAATTCTACTCGAGTTGCACGCGTCATGAGTCACGACGGCCTGATGACAACCGGTCATTAATTAGAGCCAATTAAGGGCGGGCAGCGCAAAACGCAAGCGTCTTGCCCTCTGGGACAAAAAGGTGACATCCCGGCGTCTCTTCCTGCCGATGTTATCATCGCTTTGTGAATAGCGCGAGTCGTCTTTATTTCAAAGCGCAGACATAACGTAGCGCCGGCGAGCGTTTAAAACAGCGCGAAACGTAATTAAGGACATTTGACTCAAGTCTCAACGAGGGGCAGGATATGTTTTATTTGCTTTCGAAAATTACGTTGCGAAGCATGTTTTTTGAAGAAAACACATCTAGACAGGAAACGATACGCTAGATGCAATAAATTGTAAAGTGAAATAGAATCTGAGCAATAAATTGTGCTCAATTTTCTGTAATGATAAAAAATCCGTTTATCTTAATAAAACATATTTTATATTTAAAAAATATTAAAATACACATACTTAAAAAATAATATTAAATTATTTATGGTTTTTCACTCTACAACTGCAATAAGTATTATTTTTAAACAGATCATATTAAAATGAATAATATATTTCTCATTTTTTTATATATTGAAGTAAAATTTAGTTATATATTATTTTAACAGATACAAGACACTTTGTTGTAATACTAAATTATTAAGCTAATTCGCTATCATTTCCGGAATGTGTTTTTATACCAAGAAGCGATACGTTCAATTAGAAGTTACGTGATGATTCAAATTCTTATCATACCACGCTAGAAAAATATCAAACATCTTATCGTTACATTTCTCCTTGAACTTAATGTCATAGATATACAAGCTTCAAATCGCGACTGAAATAGTAAACATCGCGTTTCTTACCAGCATTTCACTGAATATCCAGCAATAAAAATTCCAACCGTCTCGATTATATTGTTATAAAACAAAATAACTTCTTACACATGTACTTTCAAAAAATTGTTCACTCTGAATTGTTAAATCGTCATGCGATTTTCGAACTTTCCGTCGCACGTGTTATTCCGTGTTATTCCGTATATTCGAAAGAATAATCGAAACTTTGTAACTAATATATTGCAACATTTAGTGTATACCGAATCACCGATCGGAATCACGAAAAGCCGCGGTAAAAGACGACGGCGGGAAAGCGCGACAGACGGACGAACGACCGTCGAAGGCGGCGGACCGCGTTGAACTGCGGATCGAGAAGGGCTGAAAAGAGTACCGAGCCATACCGAGAGTACTCCGCCTCTGCTGTACGTTGTAAATATCGAAGCTATTATCTGGCCAATGCGATAATATGCTACAAACATAAAATAATATAATCTTTAATGAATTTTTTACTCATATTTTTCAAAATTTTATAAAAATCCGAGATATATTTATTCGAAAAATATTGAAGAAACGTTTATTTCTAAATACGCAATATTTAAAATAAAATTTCTTCAAACTGTGGAACTTATTCTACTTAGAAGAACATCATACTTATCTAAATTTAATTCAATATCAATAAATTTGATACCCAAATAATTTATTAGGATAAAACACAAAGACGATTAAAAAATTATTGAAACTCCTGCTAATAATTTACTCCATAAAATTGATACAAAGTCCTGCTCGCATTATAAAAATTCCAGATCATAAAAATACATAAAATACATTAATTTAAAAAAATTGAAACCTTCCCGTTTATTAATCTATGGTTTTCTGCTTCTTCAAAAGTTGCGTTGTTGTGTTAATTTTACGTGACCTAAACTGGCAAATGGGTCGGAGATTCCGACTGAAGTATCTCCGTATGTTATACGAGAGTCTAATAGACTCTCGTAACGACGCGAAACTGGGGTGGTTTGCATTACCGAGAAGAGAGCACGTACGGTGTGCTACCAAAATAGCATCTCTCATTGTGCGCGCGAAATAACGTAAACGAAAAAGCCACTGGAGCTCTGTTGCAAGTTTGGCTTCGCGAGAGTTTAATGACGGCATTCAATCACATGAGTGCGCTTTACTCGTTCACGTTATTAATACCACCGACAGCAGCATTTCTTAATTATTTATTTAATTTAACTCGTAGATATTTAATTTTTCTGTAATTCTTTAATCTTGTGACATGGTAAATTCAACGCGCTAAAAGAAAATGGCGTTCGGCAGAATATTTCAACACAATGGACAATCATCTTTTCACGCGTTGGAGTGTTAGCTCCGAATTTTCCCAACAAAAGACTGCGCTTCCGAAATTGCACGAAAAACGTACGCCAACAATGAAACAAAGCAATTGTAGACCACTTTGCACTGCGGACGGTTGTTGCTGGAGCTGTTACGATGCACGCACAGGCATGCATAATTTTTTTTTATTCAACCGTTGGCTGTGCTTAGGAATAAGTAGTATAATGGACAGGTAGTGTAAGTTCGCGCGGACAGACAAAAGTGCGATTGTATGCGGAGACCATTCTGGCGCGGACACCTGGCCACGATGGGGATCAGGGATGTATGGTGCGTATGGATCGTTTTATGGTGGCGAACTCGTAAGGAAACTCGGGAGGCTCGGCTAAGAAAATTCCCCTCACGTACGCTATTGATCCTGACCGGACTCTTTATTTCACTCGAATCCTGTGGTAGAAAGAGAAGCAAGGAACAGGAGGAACCGTTCCTGCCGGTTCTTGCCGACATCCTCTTTTTGTGCATTAGAGATATAATATATTCAACTGCATGAAACTATTTAAAATAATTATTTTCTAAGTATATTAAAAGTTATATTACGTAAAAATGTGTTAAACTATCTAAAAATCTTTACTTTGATTAAAACATTTCTTTCAGATTAATCATATAAATTACGCAATAGACAATTATAAGAAGTTGAATACAGTTTGTCAAGAACAAAAGATTTTTTTATAATTTCATAGAAAACTGCGTAATTCAATACGTATCGAGCTAAGTGCGTTAAAGTCCTTTTCAAATTGATTTATTAAATAGAAAAAGAATTGGATTATTAGAGAAAAAGGTAGCAATATATATTATTTTCCTTTGTATAAAAATTTTTCTATTTTCTATTTTAAATAAATTGAATGTAACTCCTGAGATGGACTCGCTATTGAACTTGGCTAGGTAGAATTTCGAAACTTATTTGCAGAATGGAATAGATCGAGAGAAATTCGTTAAAGAGAAGATTGATGTTGCGTCAACGGTTTCGCGGTATCGTTTCTATTATTTTACCCTATTGATTCTATTTTGTTCGGTTAAGATCGTAAATTTAACCGAGTTTTCATACACAAAGTTTCTACCCAGTTATGTGTATTCCTGCTTATACCGTGACATTCGTCACAAAATATACAGAATGTCTCATAATACGGCTTTAACTCTAAGAATTCTCTAAAAGCTAAAATTTAAAATCTTTTATGAATGCAATATTAATCTTCGACTTTTATGTATCTTTGTAATTAAGCTTTAAATTACAGATTAAAATAAAACCCACGTAAAATTAAAGAAATATTAGAATTTTGTTAGCCATCTATTTTGGAGAATTTTAATCTACAAGAAACCATTTATTCTCAATTATTCATAAAACAAATTATAAACTGCGAACATCGCAAAATATAAAAAATTTCAACATTTTATTTCAAAATTGATGCCAAAGAATTCAAATTATTAAAATTAAATATAAAATATTTGTTCAGTCGCAACTAATCTTATCATTGTCGAAAACAGAAAAACAGAGGAACAATTAAGTATTAATGTCGGTCTTGCGAGTTTTTGTTTGGAAACACGCTATCAGAACGAAGGTCCTTATTGATCCTCAAAGTCCTGCCACCACTTAACCAGCAGTGCCGGCAAGGACAACACGTTCTAAACGTAGCGCGAACTTTCGCCTCCGTTTTTCTGGGTTAAACGGATTTCTAACAGTTGATCGTCCGGCTACCCGCATTCCTTGTCTCTTAACGTGGTGATAACAGTTCAAATACTCGTTCACAACAGCAGATAATCGTTCGTTTTGAAAATGCTAATTATGTTACAGCAATATTTTTTTTCAAGATTCACATTTGCATTATTTAATCATTGTCGTCTAAGCTTGAACTTTGAATGTGCTATTATTAATAAACTTTTCTATCTTTTCACTTTTCAGCTTTCGCGGGAACTTTAATTAAATTTGTTTCGTGTCGATTTCGACAAGCTTGACTGTTTTCTCTTCAGATTTAAAAAAATGTTTCATAATTTTTCTAAATAAATTAAATTTAGCAAAATCTGCGGTCGAAGCACAGAACCATTCATGTAAAGCAATTAAATCTACATATATGTATACATGTGTATATCTACATTCAGGTAGGCTTCGACCGATTAAGATACCGAATGCTATGTAATTAATGCAGTCCACGATCGGTGTCATTTAGCCACAAGGCGAGCACCGAATCACTGATGCGCGTCACGCACGTGAACCGAACGTATGACAATGATGATGGTGATGATGATTGAGCGTGGTATATTTTATTTATCGTGGGTGCGTCAGAGCGCCCAGCCCTATTACGCTCCAGATATCTTTTATCCTGACACACCCTGTACATGCGTCCCTTGACAACGATCGCATAAAGCGTGTTATTTGCGGCTTACACATCGCAGACGTGATAACAGAATTTCATTGCTAAAATAGAGAATATAGTTAATTGGAGTGTTAATAATTATTACTAATACTGTTTAATGAATTTAGCGATCTTCTGATCTGAAAAAGGTAAAAGATAAAAAATGTCAACACATTTAACTAAATTGTTTTTTATGAATAATAAATCGTACAATAAATATTCTCTAAATATATCTAATGAAAATTATGAACTAATTGAAATATGTTAATCCGAAGTATTTAGTGCTTCAAAATATTTTTGTATTGTTTAAAATTATCAAGGAAAGAGAAAAAAGCAAATTTCGACATTCTTAAAAACCATATGCACATAAGTTTTCGTTTATGCGTCGATTGCGGCGATTATTGCTCCAACTTCTTGAAAAATGTGCGTTAGATAATGTAATCAAAAAAGAAACGTTTGTTTTCAGATTAATAGTCGTTTAAAAAACAAAATTTCATCGAAATGTTCTGCTACTGTCCAGATATTCTATTGTATACAATATCACTGCCGCATTTGATTGTTTCAAAGGCACATCTGCGTATTATTAATCGTCCTATGTTCGTTTATTTATTTTTCCACGTCGTGGAAAACGGACTCTCTTCGGCGCTGCACTGTTTTATCTCATACGACTGAGTTTATTTAATTTCGACGGGCATTAAACAGTGAATAAACGAAAATGAACGTAGGCGGTGGCACGCGCGTGCTACGCCATAAGTGCTGCAAGATTAATTACGTAATCTTCCCGTTTCCAGAATTAGAATTTCCGTACTCTGGAAAATTGTTCCCTATTTTTCTCATACTGAATTATTTAAACATCACCGTTGTGAAAATGAAAAAATGACTGTGATTCATACAATGAATATTAATAAACTTATCCAATTTCAGAAATTCAATAAGTGAAATATTTAATAAAATTTATATTTATTATGACTATATATTATTTTTCGATCATGTATTAACATGTATTTATCGATTAGAACTTTTTAAATCAAGAACTGTATCTCATTCGCTTAAATAGAACGCGAAATTTTCATAATTTTTTAAATAGATATATAATATTTTTATTTTAATATGTAATTCTATGTATAAGACTATTTTTTAACTAATAATTTTACTATTTTAATTTTTTCTAGCTTAATTCTACTTTGATCTTTTTTTCCATTTTAATTTTTCTTTTAATCTTAATTCTATTCAATTTTATTCCAGAATCACTCTTCGGGCTTCTCAATCATCGCATCAACGACGCTTGTATCGCAAGTAATCTGTTCTGCAAAATGCCAAAAATACTTTACACATATCAAGTCAGGGTTAATGATGACAGGAAGAGATGATGAGAAGAAGCTCGCGCTGCCCGCATCGCAAGGTCCGCGCATAACGTCATCGGGCGCTCGAGCGCCGATTAGCGGCGATGCACGTGTTTCCTGTTTCTGTCTGACGGGCGATGTCAAGATTGGCGGAGTCAGCTGTTTCGCAGCTGAATCCGAACTTCGCGGTCTCGCGAGTGCGGATGTGACGATGCAGAAATTGTGCGACGGATTACATAATATACACGCGCCACGTCGCCGCCTCAATTACACGAACCGTACGCTATAGTGCGTGCTGCGCGTTTCGTGGGACGTCAGCACTGTAAATAGAAGTGCTGGAAGCGCCTCGAGAACGAAGGTGCCGGCCGTCTTCGTGTTGCGCATTAGCGTCAGTGCAACTGGAATTATCGAATCAACATCGTTTTCTGCATCGAAATCAGGCTAAATCGTCGGAGCAGTCACAAAAATGGCCAGCTCCCCGATTATAAACCCGGTAAGTGCATCCGTTGCGGCTGTCGCAAAACTTTAGTGATTATCATTGATTCGTAACGCGTCCGCATTGCCGATGTTTTTGCGTCGAAAATGCGGATTGCTACTTGGTATTTGTCGCTTGATGATTATTATTAAATTCTTGGCACAGTCGATCAATGTTGTTTTAATGTGAATTTCTATTGTTATTGTATATATATGTTCTATTTAAAAGACGCTATTAAGGAGATTACTTTAACTGATATAATTAATGTCTAGAATTGTGTAATGTTAATTTTCGAGCTGCTGCTGTTTCTATTTTTAGAATATTATTCACATGCACTTGGACACTTGCTGTTTATTCACAATTGTGTTTTGTAATAGGAGATTCCGTATGTGGGAGCAGTGGAGGGTGGCCTGAGAGCGGGCACAATGGTGAAGGTGCAGGGTAAAGTGCCTCCCCACGCTGTACGATTCGCTATTAACTACCAACTGGGACCGACGTTAAATCCAAGAGACGATATAGCCATTCACGTGTCACCGCGCTTCCCCGAAGGTATCATCACCAGAAATCACATCGAGTCAATGTCCTGGGGCGTAGAGGAGAATGCAGGCCCGCTGTGGATTCAACCAGGCCAGGAGTTCGAGATACTGATTCTATGCGACCATCACTGCTACAAGATCGCTATCAATGGCAGACATTTTGCGGAGTTCGCCCATCGATTACCGTTCATAAAAGTTACTCATCTGGTTATCGATGGTGATGTCGAAGTGCATTCCGTCTCTTACGAACAAGTCGACACACCGAGATCGCCAGCTACAGCGCCAGAGGGTGTGCCGGCTGCTAACTTCGGACCGCCCGGTAAGGAATTATTTACTTTTCAAGTGTGGAACTATAATACTGCGACTTTGTGATTTGGAATTTTGTTTCTCTTGAATTAGCACCGGGTGGATTGTATCCGACGATCCAGCCAGGTGGATACGGACCTCCCCCACCGACTGGTTACGGCCCTCCTCCCGACGCCTACGGTGGTCCAGGTGGTTACAATTCACCGAGGGGCCACGGACAACCTGAGAAAGCGGAGGAGGAGGATATCTTCGGAGGCTGTCTGGACAAAGTTGGATTGGCGTTAGGCGGATTGGTGGCGGCTGGAGGAGTGGCGGCGGCCATGCACGCGATGAATGTAACGACATAATCGAAACTTATCGTTACGTTTGCAGCGTTAACGTCACAAAAGCTTATAAGCACGCGTTGTCACTTGCAGAAGAACAAGGAAGAAGAAAAGGATCATGAAAAATCGGACGCTTCCAAATCGAAGACGGAGAGCGAGGGTGGATTCGGAGGCTTGGCTGGAACCCTCGGGATGGCTCTAGCTAGCAGCCTGGCGAGTAACGCTATGCAAAACACACATGCGCAGCAAGGTTATCCCCAGCAGCAGTCAGGCGGCGGCGGTGTATTGGACTCTATTCTGGGAGCATTGGGTATAGTTATAACTTGAATTTTAAAAATAATATATAATATGATCAGGAATATGTGATTGATATCTCTTTTGCAAGTTCACATGCGAGTAGGATAATTTAGGATTCAGCGAAAGTCTGTTCTTAAACGAACAATAACTTCCGTAATTCTGCAATTGGAAGCACACGTCGTGACTTAGGAATTTTATAAATCGGAAAATCTGTAATCAAACGCTGATCGCTGACTGGCCGAGTGACATCATCGCGTCGGAATTATCGTCAAGGACGGCAGTGTTTCTATAATAAATGGATAGAGATGGTTATTTGATGAATCTAAGATACATTCCTAATATTACGCGTGGAATGAAAGCAACTTGAGAAGATAGCGTCATGCTTTTTCTTTGGTCGATTAGGCGGTGGAGGATCTCAGCCGCCTGCCTATCAAAGTCCACAGCATCCACCCGGTGGTGATGGTCTGAGCGGAACGTTAGGATCTCTATTCGGTGGCGTTCTCGGCGGCGGAGGAAGTCATCATCAGCAGCCAGGGTATCAACCTTCGGGAGGGTACGGCGGCTATCAACCGTCATCCGGCGGTGGATACGGCAGCCAAAGTTCTGGATCGGATCTTTTGTCAGGACTAGGATCCGCCTTGTTCAGTTCTGCTTTCGACGGTCTGACTAAGCGTGGGAAAGATGTAAATAAATTATTTCAACATATTTTTTTTTCTCAGCGACGTATGTAATTAGAAGAATACAGGGTGGAATTTTTAATCGTACTTTTAAATAACACTTTATAATTTTTTTACACAGAATTCTCATGATGAACATCGTTCACCGCCTCCGAGTTACGAGCCACCGAGTTACGAGCCACCGAGATACGAGCCTCCTCCACCGCCAGTGCCAAAATCGAATCCACGTCCGAAAACTCCACCGTCTTCCGGCGGGCATAAATTAACCGCGGATGAAATTTCGAAGGGACTTGGATTGGACGATTGAACGCTTTCAATGGCGTAAAAGATATTATATATATATATACGCAAATTGGCGTTTTTATGCTCTCTTGTTGGTTGGATACGTAATCTCACGAATCTTATTTACTGAAATACGCTACACGGTGCACTCGTTCATGTCTCTGCAAATGAGCAAATTTTTAGCTGTATTGACAGCTATATATAGTAACATAAAATGTGAGTGAGTACCTCCTGATATTATATATCTTGAATCTTATACGATATAAATTAATTTCAGAAATCTCGATCAAGATTAAATAGAATTAAGCTTGTTCCAAAACTGCTTTTCCAGGACTTAAAGATTGGTGCATATCTTAGGTCGAAATTTAGACAGAAATCAAATATAAACCGCTTTCTACAAAGCCTTCCACGAAATAGTCTAGTTAACAGCTATGCAGATATAGCAACAGGGCTAAAGATATTTTAAGATTATATTTTTATAAAAATGTTTTATTATTTTAGAAAAGTGTGGCCTTAGGAAGATATATATCTATACTTTATATATTAAAATAGCGGATAATGCACAATTATTATTTATTATTTATAACAGAAATAAAAATATACAGATACATCACTGGAATAAGACATATTAAGTAGAATATATTAAGTTGAATGCGTTCTATAGAAACGTTATGTGCATTCAACTGTAACGAAGAGCTTCCATCAAAATGGTTGTTTCCGGTATTGTATTTTTTCGAGATGCAAATTTAATAAAATATTTAATAATCATGAAACATTCGGGTGTTCATTTATGATACTTAATGAAATAACCTTTGTACATAATTCAGCTTTCCGGTCTATCCTCGTCCTGTTAAAGAATCCAATATTTATTAAATCCACTAATATAAACATAAGTATAGAAACCATAGAAATATATATACCGAAAGCATTATTATTCATATAGATATTTTTTGCATTTTCGATAACTTTAAAATTTTGTGAGAATTGAAACAGTATTATAGTTTTTTCTTTATTACATTGCGTTATGGTAACATTACGCTCAATCACGTAAACCATGATGTCATTGTTTTCCATCACGTCAGCTAGAATCACAGAATGTACAAAATGTATTTTTCTTTTATAACAGTCTTATTATTTGGCAATGTTACTCGCCAAGAAAATTCGAGTGTTGTAAATCTAAAAATCTCTTCATTACTAAAAATTTTACAATGGATGAAGATCTTAGTAACTACAATTTATTTGCATGCAATGAACCGCGCGACTTGTGCAATTAATATTCTGTTTTTAAGTAGCATATTCATCAATACCTCCGACAATCGCATCGCTGATCCGCGGTTCCTCAAAATTGTCTTGAATTTCGTGCAGAATAGTCATTTTTTTAACCGATCAAATATTTCTTTAATGTCTATAAGATTTTAAGCGATTCTCAGTTTTTATAAATTTTAATTATGTAACAGTATATATAGTCCTTAAAGAGATACATGTTTTACATGTTTGAATTATGCATAACAAAATTACTTATACGAGAAAATAAATATGCATTAGAAATATGTTTAAATACGTCCAATTGAATACTCGATTCATAAATCTTATCACATATGCTAATCGCAATCTTGATCAAAAGGTTCCATCGCAGACGTGGTTTTTAGTATCCAGTATGTTTTCTATGAAAGAAGAAAACGTATTTTAATAAAATACTCATCAATTAATTGAGATAAAAATTTTTATTTACGAAAATTTGCGAGAACGCTAAACATACGTCAGTTTCAGCCTTCAACGCTTCCAGTTCCAGCTTCTTCTTTCTGTTAAAGAATCCGACCTTTACTAAACCCAGTATCATCAGCAGCAGCAACAGAACTCCCAGGATCGCGGAGAGGACGATTATCAACACGGATATCCGCTGAGCTATCGGTGACGTAAGAAATTTTGTAGTAACTAAAGTAGTGTTCGGCTTGTTTCCTTCAGTAAAATTGCCGGGTTGCGTTACAGCGACGCTACCTTCGGTCGCGTAAAGTATGACGTCATTGTTCTTTATCACGTCATCTACAATTAGAAAGCACGCGAAATGAATTTTTATCTTCTAATATCGATTTTATATCGATAACATATTACTTAACGATGTTGTACTGACTAGGAAAATTTTTCACTTGCAGATCCAGCGTGACCAGGAACTTCGCAACGTGCAAGGAACTCAAAAACGGTCCCAGTCTGCAATCGATTTGCTCGCACCGGATTGCGTTATTCGTGCAATTAATGTAGAACGTTCTGTTCTCCGAGAGTGCGTTCATCGGCGCGCCCTCGATGCTGAATTTCGTGCCGTTCGCTGAGCTGGAGTTGACCGCGATTGTGTTCTCCGTGATCTCTTCAACTACGGAGGTAGACACTTCGGTTTGACTCGAGTAGCCGCAGAAAAGTTCTTGTCCGTTCATTTCCAGGTTACCGATGTTGACGATCGCTATTTCTCCGATACCCGGCAGCCGAATGTGCGTTGGAATTTTCACGGTCAACACGGCTTCCTCGACGGCGCTGGCGCCAAAATTCTGCACTTTGTAGAAATGCTGAAATCTAACACTGTCCGGCGGCGTTTCCTTACCCTCGCGTAAGTACGAGTACCAGTTTCCCTGCGTTTTTCTACAGCCGTGAACATAGAGTTAAGAATTCTACAAAATTACATAGGAAAAAAAAAAAGAATTTGCTGGCACAGCAAATTTTATGCTAGCAAAGTATGTTGGTTATTATATCAACTGCAAAAAGTATGTTCTGCCAACAAAACAGCTTTTACTAATACACTGAATAATCTGAAAACTTAGTTATGGTAGTGAAATTTTCCCACTATCATATCTAATATGCAACGATGATAGTAAAATTCTTTCTTTCCGTGTATACGAAATTTAATACAAAGAAATATATTAACCCAGTGATCGCTATATCAATGTCCAGATCGAAATACACTGTGATGACGTAATTGTTGTCCTCCCAATTTTTCTCGTGGCTCTTGGTGCTAATGTTCGCCCGTAATTCTACTTCTCTAACATCGTGTCTCACCCCGCTCATATCCAGTTGCAGTGTTAACGTTTTCTGGAAGGTAAACCGTCATTTTTTTTTCACGAAAAGAGTTACGTGAGTATGAGAAAAGTCGTCATACATTGGTTCTCAGAGGATTCCCAATGTTGCAGATGATTTCCAGAGAGCCGGTCGCGGCAGAGCTTTCGACGCACTCGGGAGGAATATTTGCTAACGTTAAGATTTCGGTGGAGATGAGCACTTTGGCCTGATACGCCGGTTCGCCGCGATTATCGGCATCGATTTGCAACGTAATCATCGATGCAGCTCCGATGACGTATCTGTTGTCCGGAGTCGCGTCAGTGGACAGCCTTACTCCGAGATCGCACACGCACACTTCGTCCTCGCCGCATTCCACAGCGAACGGCAGTATTGTGGAATTTTCTATCTGCGAGTACTGCTTATTTATCACGACGCAGAAAGTGCAGGGTGAGCTTATTCTGTTGTTCGCATGGAGATCATTTTCCACCTGCATCAACACCGATATTTCGAGCGGATCTATTATATTTTGAATGTTCTCCTGAAACACATAAAGACACGAATTCGATATACTGAAAAAGAAATTAGCGTGGAGCGAATAATAAACACCGTCAGATTAATCTCCAGCGCTTTGTACGTGAGCGTAGCTTTCTGCAGCGTGTAATGCAATCTGTAAGTCTGTGGCCCATCGTTACTTTTCTGCGCTTGGTACGTGGCTCTGCCGTGCATTTGATCAATCTTTAGGATCGCGATAATTGCTGAAATGACAATAACAAACGTGGAATTGATATAATTAATTTCATATACCGCTTGAAAAAATTAAATGAATAAATTTTAATGAACGAATATGATTCGATATCGTCTAAATTAACGTTGAGCGTTGATTGCTTACGTAGTTCTTCGGGTACGTATGCACCTTCGTAAGACATGTGGAGATCAATCGTGAAGGACGTTGCGTTTCTTAACAGTTTGACCTTTTGCAGGTACGTCAAAGTCGCATTCAGCGTAACGACCGGTACGGATTGCAGCAAGACCACTTCGTCGGAAAGGTAAGCGCCCACAGCTATGTCGGAATAATTATCGCGATTGATATCTCGGGGTTCCGAAATAGAGATACCGAATCCGCGTATTGTCGGCGAGAATCGCGTGCCCATCAGTTTCTGACTGTACTTCCGGAACCTGCCGTGTTCGTTTCCGTTAAAAATGTACACCGCACCACCGTCTTCTTCATAGGGTGCACCTACGGCGATATCGCCGTAGCCATCATAATCAATGTCACTCAGGCACATTACGGCAGCTCCAAATCTACCTCCGACGATCGCACCATCGATCGTCTGCGGTTTCTCAAACTTGTCCTGAGTTTGTGCAGAATAGTAATTTTTTTAACCGATCAAGTACTTCTTTAATTAAATACTGAGCTTTTGACAGTAATTCTCAATTTTTATAAATATCTCTGACAACGAGACATAGACTCGAAATGTAGATTTGATTTTTTCTCAGCAAAAAGTATTAGAAAGTTTTAATCTTTCGGAATAAAAAGTTTCTGTTTTGTAAAAATTAAAACGTCGCACAAATTCAACATGAAAAATAAAAGTAAATAAAAAAACGTTCTCTTTCTCTATTAATTATGATAATATTGCGGAGCCAAAAATTCAATTTAAATCTTATATGATAAGATATTCAATATTAGTTATCACAATTTTTTATAGAGAAATCAAAAAGTTTTAATATTGTTTTAGATTTTTTCAAATCACTTATGCATTTATTTCTCAAATGATATATGAATGACATACTTTGCGCCGCGATGTAAAAATGTAGACTCGACCCTCGTCCGTGTCTTTGGACCACTGCGGCGCGCCGACGATTAATTCGTGCTTACGATCATTGTTAATATCGCACGATGTTAATACTGCGCCGAAGTACTCGCCCAATTGTTCGCCTTCTACTATTGTTTTGATAACGATAGGTTTATTGTGTTTAGAAGGAAAATCAAGCACGAGAACTTTTCCATATAACATTTTGCTTCTTGGCGCGCTGGAAGCGTATAAGACGTTCTTTTCGTTAAAGTAAGCACCCGCTGTTATTGCATATCCTGAAAAGAAACCGTGAATATGTAGAACGAAGATGCAGTGGATATATTAATATCCGAAAGATGTTTCTTTCACAGCATTAATAAAATAAGAAACTCGATACATTTTTTAAATATAAAAAATCTATAAGTGTGCGAATATTGATTTGCACGCTCTCTTCTTTCGTTTTGCTGCTATGCTATTTAAAATTTTCTATTTATGTACAAACAATTTAGAAAATTATTTCGCGTTGCACTCGGTAACAAATGGATTGATAACAGACCGACCCGCATTTAGAATTGGCGATAAGAGAAATTTGCTCTTACCGAAATAATTATCGTCTAAAGTTTTTTTTCTTCGGCAACCGCAGGAATTTTTGTGCCCGAGAATCTACCGTTTTTCTCGGCAGTGGTTAATATCGCATCGCCGTTCCAATTGCATACACCTGGACTGCCCATTGCGACATTCACTTTGTTCTTCAAAGAATCCATGCGTAAAGAGAAGCCAGCTTGGCCCATAGCATAATTATAAAAGCGTTTTTTCTTGAAGAATTCATTTTCATTTCCATTTGAAAGTGGTGACAATAGCTGTTCAGCGTTTCTCTCAAATGCACTGCTATTAGTGGCCAGTGTCGCATAGCAGATACCGTTCATGTGGAAATCGCGCTCTTTGTAATTTATCCATCGGGGTGCACAAACCTATTCAATGGAATTGAATAAACAGAGTCTTATAATTTCTTACTGGATATTCAGCAAAAGCTTATTGTTGCTCATTTAAATTTTGCAAATTTGCTTCCTGCAAATTCTTTAATTTTCATATATATTTTTATGACAATCAATTTTTTTTTTTTAACGAAAAGATCTGAAATTCGTGTGTTCGATTTAAAAGTTGAGATTTTTGAGTCACGCGATCAAGACACGCGACAATTATTATCGATGCTTGTGAAAAATAACCAATCAACACACCACAATCCTGGCCTCCGTTTTGTTCTCTACGGCAATCGTCGCGCCAATCCAAGAATCATTCTTAATTTGATCGAACTTCAGCTGAGGATGTCTCCCATTTCCGACATCGTCAACTGTCCACATTTCACACGTGTCGTTCATCGTACATTTAAAAACTGTCCCCGGTTCTCTAACGGACGGCAATTCGCTGGAGTTCGCTCTCGGGGCTCCCACGAGTAACAAGGATTCATTTGCATTTGCGTACAAAGCGACCGAAAACCCAAAGTAACTGCGACGGCCATGCGACGCTTGCACACCGAACACTTTCGCATTGAACGAATTAATGTTGTACGCCGACGCATCGTGTCGCATGATTGTTAAGGCGAGGATTAAAATTCGCAAATGAAAGCACATTGCTAAACTTTCGTGCGCGCGTATCATTCTGCACGGTGCTTTTAAAGATTTCACACGGACTTTTGCACAGTCGGGTATAGTAATGCGCGATGCATTCGTAACTGAGGAAACCTTTTTCCTTTTCTTCCTGCCATCGGATGTGGTATCTGAACACCACAGTGATATCATTTTGCATTAAGTCTAAGTCTAGTCGGTCCAGTTGTGTGCACTTTATTTTGAAAAATATCGAAGAAAGCCTTCTATTCTCTCAGTTGCAGAGGAGAGTAAATTTATCGCGTTCTGTCATCTTTTTTTTTTTTTTTTCTTCTTGTTTATTCATAATCAGTTAATAAAGACGTATATAAATGCAAGATTAAATAATGTAATATAATTACAATAATTCTTCAAAGTTCAACACATAGGAAAAAAATGTATACCAATTCATTATCTTTAATTACTTTCCATCGCGCAAACCAACAATACACATTAGCCGAGTCGTAAATACTTAAAGCTAATGCGGGCGCGTTTGATCGGTGATCCCGCACGCGGCGTCGCTCGCCGCGGTTCCGTCTGGACTATATGCGATTTCCAGATCCGCGAAACGTTCACCTCGCAATTCCGATCCGGACTGTCCTTGGATTAATCGAGTGCTGAACAGTCGTAAAATGGCTTTCGCAGGGTGGAGGATGAGAGATGCAGGGGCGATACCAAACATCTTCTAGGCAATTTCAGCTAACCGATAACTCGATTCATGAACACACGTCGCAATGTCATCACGCAAGAAACCGACGACGGGGAACCGACGATTCTAAACGAAAATTTAGAGGGGGGGGAAGGGGGCTGCGAAAAGGAAAACACCGTACACTCACGAGGGATCTTAAGAGACGGGCAATAAAATCCGAAACGTAAAAAAAGAAAAAGGGTGAGAAAAATCGATCGTATGTCCGCGCGCACGTGATCAACTTAGTGTTATAAAAATATACTTCAAGGAATCACAGATTACTTTATGTACAAATGGGAAAGGGGGTTCGGAGTGGAGCGCGCCAG